TGTCTTTGTCAGATAGATATGCAAACAGTGGTTGCTTAGCAACATTTTATCAGCGAGAGGTCCCTCATCGTCCTCCCTGAGGCCTCTGTCCACCTTTCTGACCTGTTGCCACGGTTACGAAGTCGACTCCAGTTGTGTCGCTGAGGGTGCTTCAGGTTATTCTTTGTTCTTTAGGTATTTGTCTAACGACCATGTTTCAGTCCACAGAGAACATCAGGAATTTTACAAATTTGGTTTTCTCTCCGCCAGTACTTTCACTCACAACAAGGATGTGTACAACCAAACAAAGAAGGACAACAGAATTGCAAAAGAATCTGGCCAAAAAATCTCTTTCACAGCATTTTCCTTGTCATCCCTGCCAAGACAAGCTTACTTCTTTAGTTTCGCAGTGGAGCTACAGAGCTAATGTATCGTACAAGCAATAGAAGCTAATAACTAGCAGTTAGCTTTGTGCAAAGTGCATAAAATCATCACAGCTTTGCCTCAAACTGTATTGAACTGCTAAATAATCTCAAATAGTCACACAGTTTTTGACACTCTATAACATGCTGTTGTCTATAAAATGCCCAAAATTCGGTCTATGAGGTGCTGCTACTACTGTTTTTAGCTATGCTAATGTACATTTTTGTACATTTGTTTGAATGTTGTAGTGGTTGGTCACAAGTATTTTCTAGGTGTTTTCTATGTGTTTTTTAATCACCAACAACACTATAAAAAAAGTGCAGCTAGCCTAGCGACCTGTGTCTTTTACGTAGCACTATCAGCTATTGTTAAGGCAGCTACAACTGACTAGGCTGAACTAGAGATCGTTTACTAGCTAATGCTAAAGCTGCAGCCTCAAGGCCCCTTAAGAACACCATATGTAAGGACGTGTCCGTAATTAGATTTTTTTTAAAACATCTACTGAACATTTGTTCATTTTTTCCAAAGATACATTCTGGAACAGTGTGAAATGGGGTGAAAGCCCTGGAACAGTGTGAATGGTGGAGCGCATTCCAGAACACTGTGAATGAAGAGAACATTCTAGAACAGTGTGAATGGAATTGGAACAATTTAGAGCCGTGTGAATAGGGAGGGCATACTAGAACAATGTGAATGGGATAGGCATTCTAGAACAGTGTGAATCGGGAGGGGCATTCTAGAACAGTGTGGATGGAGAGGACATTCTAGAACAGTGTGAATAGGGAGGGCATTCTAGAACAATGTGAATGGGATAGGCATTCTAGAACAGTGTGAATGGGGAGGGACATTCTAGAACAGTGTGAATGGAGAAGGCATTCTAGAGCAGTGTGCACGGAGAGGACATTCTAGAACAATGTGAATGGGATAGGCATTCTAGAACAGTGTGAATGGGGAGGGACATTCTAGAACAGTGTGAATGGAGAAGGCATTCTAGAACACTGTGGATGGAGAGGGCATTCTAGAACAGTGTGGATGGAGAGGGCATTCTAGAGCAGTGTGAATGGAGAGGACATTCTAGAACAGTGTGAATGGAGAGGGCATTCTAGAGCAGTGTTAATGGAGAAGGCATTCTAGAACAGTGTGGATGGAGAGGGCATTCTAGAACAGTGTGGATGGAGAGGGCATTATAGAACAGTGTGAATGAGGGAAACCTTCTAGAACATTATAAATGATAATGAATGTTCTAGAACATGGTGTAAATGGGGTGAACGTCAGTGGAATTCAGTAAGATGAGTTGAGTGGAGTTCTGCAGGCGTGAAGAGCACATGTAGGAAACTTCTGGAGCACCGCTCTGCAGGGATTAGCTGAAGAACCACCGTGGGGTGTGAGAGAGACTGGAGTGAGGAACATGGAGTGAAGTCTTTGGAGAACACACACACACACACTGTTCCACATCTGCAGAAGCACAGCTATGGAAACATGTTCCACCCCTGATGGGAGGAGACACCAGCATATACATGTTTATCTGTGGTACTGAGTGAGTGAGTGTATTTCCCCTCTGCTGCTCCACACCCATCATTAATCTGACCAGAGAGAGAACAGAGTGTGAGAGAGAGAGAGGGAGAGAGAGAACAGAGAGAGGGAGAGAGAGAATGAGAAAAGGAGAAAAAATGAAAGGGGGTGAGAGAGAGAATGTGAGAGAGGTGGGGAGAGAGACAGATAGAGGGAGTGAGAGAAAGAGAAGTTGTGAATTTGAACAGGTTTTTTATGAGGGGGCTGTTTAGGGTATAATACGCTGAAAAGCTCGCACACACACACACATACAGCTCATACACATCTTTCAGGGCGCCCGGAAGTCATTTGATTGTAACATGAAGGCTTTATTTGTAAGCAGGAAGGAGGTTTTCAAAATAAGAGCATGCTCAGCAGCTCAGAGAAAAAAAGAGTTTCTGGAAAACCTCCCAGAATGAACAAATAACTGCACTTCTGTTTTAATCAGCCTTTGAGGATCGTTGGTGACAGAGAGGATAGTAGACGACCCTGCAAATTCAGCTGAGTGAGTTGTTTCAACACCTGATTGTCGTTCAGATGAAATCGAATTAGCAGTTTGTTCCGGTCTTCTTACAAGTTGTCCTGCCCATGATGTGGTCTGGTTGCCTCTGCACACATTAGTATTGCATAGTAAGTTTTTCTGACATTTTACTGTGTTTTTAATGTTCATTCAGCCTCACTCTATTATACAGATGTTATATCCTACCTGTAGTTGTGTGCAGTGCTACCTATAAATAAACGCTACAGTAGGACATTTCAACAAGGTAAGATAATCCATCAGAACACCAGGAGCTGAGGAGTTGTTGGTGGGACTGTGAGAACGTCGCTTCCTTGGTGTCTTTAATCTTCAGACTCTTTTGAAACGAGAATTAGGCTTTGTTCCCACAGCAGGTGAAAGTGGCCTAAGAGATTCTGAGAGAAATGCATCACGTGCATCATCAGCAAACGGTCAGAACGAGCTTCGCGGGGTAGATAATTAACTCTGATCAGCTCTCAGCTTCATTATTAGAGCGAGACAAAGGAGAAGAAGGTGAGATGAGCTGCTTTTCCACCGTTTACAGGCTTTAACTTCTGTTCGGCGCTGCTGCCATGGTAACGCTGAATGATGGTCACGCGCGGTGAAAAAAAATCACATGAATTCCGATCTGAGCATCACATTAAGGTCACATGGTCACGAATCGGATACGTATCCGATCCAGGACCACATATGAAAGTGGCTCAGGTCGGATTTGAAAAGATCGGATTTGTGTCCACACAGCCCTGAAAACATCAGATCTGAGTCACATTAGGGCAAAAAATCGGATTTGTGCCTCTTCAACCTGGTAATGTGAACGCAGCCTTATTGAGTATTGACTCTTTAGAGTCGTGCATTCTCTCACCGCAGGCCCTTCTCCACACCGAAACACAGCTATGATGGCATTAACGTTTTTGTACGTGTGTACGAACACTTGTACACACGTACAAGTGTTTCATAACTGCATGTGCAAGTGTGTGTGTGTGTGTGTGTGGGTGGGTGTAGAAGTGTTTCAGTGTATTTCACCCTAAACGGCCCCCCATATTTTTTCCCTCTTCTCCTCTGTAACCTGTACCAGATGGGCTTCTTACACCGTTTACACTCACTCTCAGTGTCTCCACCCCTCAGTCTTACATAAGAACAGACACTCATCAACGCACTCACAGACCTTTTATAGCACAACTCTCTCTCTCTCTCTCTCTCTCTCTCTCTGTCTGTCTCTCTCTCTCCCTCTCTTTCTCTCTTTCACTCTCTCTTAGTCTATCTCTTTCCCTCTTTCACTCCCTATCTCTTTCTCTCATTTTCTCTCTCTTTCTCTTTATCTTTCACTCTCTCTCTCTCTCTATCTTTCACTCTCTGTCTCTCTCTCTCTCTCTCTCTCTCTCTCTCCCTCTCTCTCTCTCTCTCTCTCATCTTTTTCTTTTTTTTCTCTCTGTCGTTTTTTATTGTGTTATTGTTGTGTTATTTGTAGCTTTCACAGATGTGAGCGTTTGGCTCTGTTCCTCAGAAACACGATCCTGAGAGGAAAAAACCAAAACAAAGTCAGTGTGTGCCTGCATTCCTCTGTGTGTGTGTGATGGAGGAGAGTGTTGTGCATGCACTTGCTGGCGTGTGTGTGTGTGTGTGTGTGTGTGTATGTGTATGAGGGTGTGTGTGTGTGTGTGTGGGTGTGTGTGTGTGTTTGCATGTGTGCTCAGATTCAAAGAGATTTGAAGGAAATGAACATTAAACTTGTCAATTTAAACCACACTAATATGAGACTGATTGGAGTCTAACTGTATCTTGAGTCAACAGGTCTCTGTTGTTTACCAAGCACAGGGAAACACATTGAGAATACTGTCCATTTTCATTGACTACATGCTGCAGACGCTGAAGACTAGGAGGATTAGGTTTAAAAATCAGAGGCAGATGAAACTTCAGAGTGATTCCTAATAAATAAAAGGCCTTGAAGCCCCTGAGTTTCCCTGCTGATTACATTCTGTTATCCTGATTCAGGGCAGTTTAGCGTTTAGAGTGTAGATGGTCATAAGCACAGCCATTAGAGCTTTTAGACCAGGTCATTCACTGTTGTGACTCATTCATTTCACTTATTTCATACTGCTCTGATGTCTATAATGGACTTTCTAATGGATCTTGAATTAAATTGCTGTATCATTTATTTGTGCCTATATATATATATATATATATATATATATATATACACATGTAGATACTAACATATATTTATGTAGTACATAGGAGAACTATTATGTATGAGTACATATGGGACAATATGTTACATATACTTTTTTATATATATATATATATATAAATATATATATATATATACACACACACACACATATAATACATATACATAAGTATCTATATGTAATACATACGAAACAGTGCTACTTATGCTGCTTATAGAGCACATTATTATGACAATAAGCTACGTATATACTTATAACATGTACGTGTCATTGTTATTACACATAGGTACTAACATATGTATATGACTCTATATCCTGACATTGTGCATTTGCCTGTTTAGGGAGCGTGGGGCATGGCTGGGTCTCAGTGATGTGGACTCTCCAGGCACTCTGCACTGGGTGAACGGCTCCGAAGCTCAGCCGGGTGAAGATGGAGCCAGGGATCGGGCCACTCTGGTGGACGGAAATGTGTGTGTGTCTCTGGACCACTCTGGACAGAACAGTGCTCATCCCTGTAATGCCAAACGTGCCTTTGTCTGCCAGTTTACTCACCAAGGTAGGCATCGTATAGAGGATCTTCTGTTCCAGGGTTTACCAACACTCGCTGTACATTACTGTGTAGTCACCATTAAACTCTTTTGGGCCCATATCATGTAAACCGGAATCGTCCTTGTATGATATGTAATCGTTGTTAAAGTTTCAAAACATATGGTTTACTTTCCAGTCTGTACAGTCCGAATATGGAAACTAAGCTCAATTCACTGTTATTGTGATGTCATGAAAACTAGCATATATACGTAGATCCACCCTTTCTGCTTACAGCAGCTCTGCTCATTCACTGAAGCTATAAGGAGTGTTTCAGTCTGCACTGCTTTTTAAATCAATACAGGTCAGCCAGTCATGACAGAACTCATATGCACATCAGTCTTAAAAACAGCATGTTTAGTTCTAAGAGATGAAGAGGTTTAAAAATGGCTTGATAAAGACTAGAATGGTCAAAATTATACACTACACAATATGATGAGCTTAACATTGTAAATTTATGCGTCAAATAAAACACACTCAACTTGGCTAGATGGCATTTACTTGTTGGATTATATTTATTAGATGCTTAAGAAAACTTGTTTTTGTTTACTGTATATATTTAGTATTTACTATAGCATAATTAGTAATAAGCATGTATAACAACTTAAATAAATGTAGAATATCTTTGTTGTGCAGAACAGTTAAAAACAGAGAACAGTGCACAGATAAACCTGTGGCGTTTACACATCAGCATACAGCAGCTTCTCTGGCTCAAAAACGGAGCTGAATGTTGTTTCACATCCAAATCTTTCAGGTCATTTGTCTCATGCGTCAAGTCAAGTCAAAGTTTATTTATATAGTGCTTTTTACAACAGGTGTTGTCACAAAGCAGCTTTACAGAAAAATCCCGGTCCAAGCCCCCATGAGCGTCGCCAGCGGTGACAGTGGCAAGAAAAAACTCCCTAAGAGCAGGAGGAAGAAACCTTGAGAGGAACCAAGGCTCAAAACGAGAACCCATCCTCCTCTGGTCGACTCCAGATAGCAAACAGTATTAATATAAAATATTAGAATACAAAATGGGGAAAAACAGGTGGAGCAACGGTTCATTAGATAGTTTAAGTTTATGCAGCATCAACATCAGGAGGGTCAGTTTATGCAGGTGATACATGCATCTTGTTCACTCACGCTGCATCTCTGAGCATCAGCGTCTGTAAACATCCCCGTCGTTCACGCTGTCAGTATCATCGACTTTCACTGTTTTTTCTGGCTTGGTTGAAGCGATGGGCCGCGAGACCCTGCTGCTGAGTGATACAGCTGACTGACGGAGGTACACCGCAGGCGGGGCTAGTGGATGCACAGGCCCGGCTAGTGGGCCGCTGTGGTAAAGGTTAAATCGAGGCCAAAGGTATCTTTAGTGCTACTAACTCAGCTACAGCTGAGCATGCTTGAAGGAGAACACTAACTGTCACTTTTTTATGATATCTAACAGATACCTGTGTTGGCTCCACATTTCAGAACTTCAATAATGTGTACATACTGCTTTCAAAGTGAGGATAATTTATTTTTCCATGATTTGGGTCTTTTAATATCACATGTGCTGCATTCCACTGGAGCTCACTGCCACATCACGATTCCACACATGATCTGCCAGAATGTGCCCTCTTTGTCTCTGTGTCTCTCTCCGAGGGGCTGGCAGTGAGAGGTCTTATCTGAGAGTGAGTGAGTGAGTGAGTGCGTTATTGAGTGTGAGTCTGTGATGGAGCTGATATCTGTGTTGTGGTTTTGTTTCTCTGTGTTTGTGTTTGTGTCAGTCTAAGTGGGTTCAGTGTTGAGGAGAGCGGTTTATCAGAGAACAGCAGCTGGAATAATGATCAGACTGAATCCTGATTTGGTTTGTGAAGCACTTAAAATGACACAAACAGACGTTCTTTAAACTGAGAGAATCAGTGATGGTGAAGAACTCGTTCCCCTCACGCTGTGTCTGTGTCTGCGTCTGTCTGTCTGTCTGTCTCTGACTGAATAAGAAATTGACTGTAATCAAATAACCATTATTATTCTTTCTTTCTTTCTTTCTTTGTTCCTTCTTTCTTTCTTCCCCCCTCTGTTTTCTCTCTCTCTCTCTCTCTCTCTCTCTCTCTCTCTCTCTCTCTGCAGTGCGTGTATCTGATGCTGGTGTGTATGCGGTGGGTGTGGCTGTATTTAATGCTCAGAGAACTCTCACCACTCCAGATGTGTCACCCACACCTGTAGAACACACACCGACCAACAATGTGGAGGTAAAAACACACACACACACACACACCACACACACACACACACACACACAGTCTTATGGTCAAATTCCATGGTTTTTTTTTTTTATTTTCTAAGTGAAGGTAAGTGGACACACCCTCTACTGTGAACACACCTCTGCACTATTTAGTGCACAATCACTGTTTATGTACTGAATTTAACATAATGCAAGAACAAAAAATAAAACCGAAAATGTGGCGTTTTATGTTTCATATATGTTTTTCTTTTATTGATGTAATTTGACTGGGCTGTTCAGACTTTTGCTCTGACTCTCTTCTCCATTCACTCTCTGATATCTGCTCTTGTTCTTGTGTGTCTGTGTTTGTACTGCAGCTGCTCCTCTTCCCGGCTCTGAGTTTCGGGGTCGGTGGGCGTCTCTCATCTCTGGAGCTGATCACAAAGCCTCTGAGCTCACACACGCAGGTGCACTTCCAGGTGTATCGTCCACAATGCCAGCAGCTCGGATTACACCTGCACCTGCCAGGTAACACACACGCACACACACACACACACACACACACACACACACACGCACACATTAATGCTACTGTCCTCTGTTTCTGACTGTCTTGCTGTCTGGCTCTGTTTTCTCTCTCGTCCTTTCCATTACTGCCAGCCCAATGGAATAAATTTCTCACCAACATTAATATTAAGGAGCTTAAAATTTGAATAAGATCAGCTGATATAATTTAATATGGCCTAAAATTAAACAGACTCCAGCAGCTTTAGTTGAGCAGCACTTTACAAGCTGATATGATTATCAGTTACATTTACATTTAAGAATTTTAGTATATGCTCTTATCCAGAGCGACTTAGAAAAGTGCTCAGTTGTCCCCTCAGAGAATGTGTCCTAGCTAGTACATATAGGTTACAGTCCAAAATACCGTTGAGCTAAGACACTACCAGAAACAGAAGCCAATGCTGGTAACTAGAAATAACGATACAAACTACAGAACTAAGACATAAGGCATAAATACATTTCAGTAAGCACTAGATTAGCGTTAATTTAAGTGCTTCACAAAGAGATGGGTCTTCAGTCAGCGTCTGAAGACAGTGAAGGACTCTGCTGTTCAGACAGCCAGTGGAAGTTCGTCCACCTCTAGGGTGCCAGACCAGGGTAGAGTCTTGATGCTTGTCTTCTATGCGTCTTAAAGGATGGCGGGTCAAGCTGAGCCAGTCAGGTTCACAGAATAAGCTGAGAACAATAACTGGTCATCAAGGATCACAACCAAAGCTTCTTACGTCTTCAGAATGGGATGGCATGAGTTCTTATATGAGACGGCAAGATCACGATGAGGACCTGTAGTTCCAGGGATGAACAGCAGCTCAGTCTTGCTAGGGCTGAGCTTTAGCTGGTGAGCTGCCATCCATGAAGAGATGTTAGCCAGACATGTGGCTGGAAACCAGAAGGTGGGAAAGAAAGGATTGTTTGGGTGTCCACAACATAGCAGTGGTAGGAGAAGAATGATAGGATATAACGTCACCAAGAAAACAAGTGTAAAGTGAAAAGAAAAGAGGGCCCAGCACCGAGTTTTGTGGGACACCGATGGAGAACCTGTAAGAAATTGAAAGATGAGAGAATGAGAGATGAATGAGTTGTCATTCATCAAATATGATCACATCAGTTCTAAAATGTCAGATTTCTTAAACTCAAACAACAGAAATGATTGAATTCAGATATTTAGTTTGTCAGTTATCCTGATGGTTGGTTATTTAGTTAATTCGCCTGTTTGTCTGGCAGCCAGTTAGTTATTTAGTCAGTTAGCTTGCTACATTATCAGATAAGTAATGAGTCAGGTAGTCAGTTAGCTTGCAAGTCAGTAACTTGGTTAGTTAGTTGTATTAGTCAGTTAGTCAGCCGGTCACCTAGCTTGTAAGTTAGTTAGACAGATACTCAGTCAGTTAGTTAGCTCATTAGTCGGTCAGTTGTTGGTCAGCCTGTGTCACAATATAAAAATATATATCGTTAACATGATAAATTATGTCACAATAAAATACAATATGCTTTTCTGAACATGTATGTATATCGTCAGTACTCGTAGAACACTGACCAACTGCTCGTTTCATTGTAGAGTAAAATTACTTCTGTTTAACTGGGTTTAAAACAGTGCGCCACATTGTCAATAAAAATCATTGTATCCACATTTGGACATTGTATCTACATTTCACAATTTTTTTGAAATGTAGCTCTGCTGGTTCTTTTTTCTCTGTTCCAACTGATCAGATATCTGAAAAAAAACAAATATCACGACATATCGTGTATCGTGAAAAGTATCGCAATATTATATTTTTGCCGTATCGCCCACCTCTGTTATGTAATCAGTCAGAGAGCTACCAGTCAGTTAGCTAATGATTTTTTGTTAGTCAGCTCTGTTATTCAGGTAGGGAGCTTATTTATTGTTCAGACTGATAGTCGGATAGTTGTCAGTTAACTTCTTAGTCAGTCATGTTAGGTAATGTTAGGTAGTCAGATTGCTAGTTTGGTAGCTTGTCAGTTGGTCAGTTAGCTAGTTTGTTAGTCTGACGGCCACTTAGTTAATTAGTTATTTAGTTAGTGTGTTAAACAGAATTGTAAAGGGAACAGATTCAGAAATCAGACCACTCTAACTTTCTTTGCAGAAGCCACACACACACACACACACACACACACACACACACACACACACACACACACACAGGAGCAAAAACTTTTCGTTGTTAATGAAGCAATAGAAAATAGAACAAATGGTTCAAAAGGAACAAGAAAGAAGGGAGGCAAGTGGACAAGCATGTGGTCGAGAGGAGCTGATGAATCCAATATCTCACTGTGTAACTGTTCTCATCTGCTCTGGAAATAAGCAACAGAATTACCAACAGAATAGGAGCAGAGACGGAGAGAGATAGTGAGAGTCTGGGGAGAGATAAAGAAATCTCAAAGAAAAGCAGAATGTGACCAGGGCCTGAAAAAAAGAGAGAAAAGATGAGAATGCAAAAGCAGAAGGAGAGAGAGAGAGGACAGACTGCACAGAGATCCAGAGATCAGGCTGTACTTTCAGTGGTCATTTGAGTGCAAGTTTGATCCTTCTTTAAAGGATTATTGTGTGTTTATGCAGTTTGTGTAGTTTATATTTATCAGACACTGAACACGACCGAATTGACCTGAACAGTTTACCAAAAAACAAAAAAACAAATGCAGTTTCCCCCGTTTATCCCAAATGTAGTTCATCAGCCAAGAACACAGAGCAGAGAATGAAGTCTAACAGCTGGGTCTATCAGAAAACCACAGAACACTGAAAATAACCACTTCTTTTTGAAACACTGTGCTGTTTTGGCCAAACCCAGCAGCTTATTACTTTGTATATAACAGAAAAAAGAAACAGCTGGAACATCTAAAAACTTTGAAGTCCTGAAAACTTTTAACATTTCAAATGTCTGAAGTTTGGTTTTTCAGTTTTGCACTGGAGCTGCAAGGCTGAAGTCGCTGATAAGTAATCATATAGGCTAATAACTAGCAGTTAGTATGGAGTTGTGCTGAATAATTACTGTTGTTGTTATTAAAGTCCCATGAAATATAGCATAAGTTATTGAACACATTTGTATGACACTAAAATTGAGTAGTATATTAGTCGTCCAGAATGAAAAACAATAGAAATGTATTAAAACTAGTTTGTTTGAATGTATTAAAACATTAAAACAAACTTGCTTGAGCGCTGTCTGGGCGTGGCCTAATATTCTGATGAGCATGCATGATTGACAGTCCTTAGTTCTCCTACACTACTTGAAGGAAAACTGACCTACAGCACGAGCGAGGTGGGATGAAATGAGCGAAACAGGCTCTAGTGGTGTTGTAGGTTGTCCCTGCTGCGGCCACTCACTAAAAACATTATCCAGCTTTTCATATGGAGATGAAGGTGCTCATTAACTTTACTGCCGGATGTGCATCCAGGGAATGCTGGTGTGGCCGGCTGACTGAATGGATGTTCTTACTCGCTCAATTATGCTTGGTAGGTTAGCTTTTATTTGGTGGTTAGCTTTCTCGCTGCAAGTTTCTCTGACTTGAACACAGCTTGGTTAAAACTATTTGGGCAGGACGAACCACGTTAGCCTCGTGATTGGTGAGGACGCTGCTTACACACACTACCAAAGATCAGGAGCACCCAGTTAACATCCGAGGGGAAAACGTTGGCAGAACACATTAGCTATTCATTGGGAATTGTTAAATGGGACGTATTACACTTTTCAGATTTATCCCTGTTTTCCTATTTTTTCCAATGTGTGTTATTAAAGCAATAAGCCATGAGAGGCCATGAGTTACTGCGATTTTAACATGGGAACTCCCTTCCCTGTGATAAAATCACAGTAACGCTCGGCCTCAAGTGGCTTATTGCATTTATAAAATGGTGGCCAACATAAAATATGTTAGAGCATGGTATTGTTGCCAAGCAGTCATGGACCGCTGAATGAGGAGAACGTCGCTGTATATGGAGGTCATTTAATGAAATGTTTAACTTTTTGTCGTATAACAATGAACATTATGACAACACAGCACTGTTTAATCCAAAAACTCTTGCTTTATAAGCACTTTTTGGTCACCAAATTACCACCGCGAGTCTTATTTAGCACTAATCCATCAGTGCCTCTGTTCTCGTGCTGGGGCTGAATCTCAGTTGGCTCCCTGCTCCCTACAAAGTGCTCTACTTAGGAATTTATATACTGGATCCCGAAGCCCAACAGTGTGAAATACAGCTAAGAAATAGTCATTTGGGCCACATCCACGCTCGATAAATGACGCACTATTTTGGCTGTAGAAGCTAGAATTTGTACACTTCCATAGCCAGCGCACTCTTTAGGGAGTAGGAGCTGTTTGGGATTCAGTCTGGGTTTGATTCTACTTCTTACTGAAACATGAACATTCGCACTCATTCAAATGACATTTTTAGACTTTTATACCTGTCGTTTTACAGTTAATCATATCGTAAGTACTTTAATTCAAGCCTGTGATATTAAAGATGGAGTTGTTTAGGCTGTTGGCTTTCTTTTCAGCCTAACTCTAGTTAAGAGCATAAGTTGCCAGCCCCTCAGTTCAGGTTCTTAATTCATCATATACTCGGTGGTCCATGAGAGCACCATTACAGTCCAAAAATTATTCCATTAACAGCACAAGGGTTTTTTTTGTGTCATGGCGCAGTGATATATAATTGTTGTGAAGTGGTCCTAGATATGCATCTGTTTTATAAATAGCCTTTTATGCATGTAAACGGTCTGTAAAGTTAAAAAGCTCAAAGTTCACACCAGACGGAGAAACTCTTTCCAACAGAAACCACTTTTCTCAGCTGCCTGAAACGCCTCATTGGAATTCCTGCCCTTTTCTTTTGTTACAAGGTGACGCAATTTCGTAATACATTCCTGTTGCCCGCCTGCTGGCAAGTTTGGCACACCCTCACACAATGCACAGCAACTACTGGAGGCTGGGAAGAGTTTGTTCAGGTTAGCCATGTCAAGAAG